TGAAAGTCGTGGAAGATTATGAATTTCTGAGTTCGTTCAAGAGAAACGGTTGCCGAAAGATGTGTATTAGAAAAAATGTGGAATCCCGAGTAACAGAAACAAAACAACGTTCATTCGTTAACAAACCGACCAATATCTATCGCTGCCGTTCATGATCTTGCATGAGTGAATACTGACGATGATTTTTAGCGTTTTAGATATTTTTTTCGATCGTCCTTGAGTATTTCATCAGGTGTTTTCGTATGAGAACAAGAGTAATACCACTTGCAGAGCAAAGAAAACATCGATTTTAGTGTGGGATGATTTAAGGTTTTCATATACCTGGTTGTGATTGGTAGGCTATTCCATAAGACGGCGTATCAAATGAGGGAAAAGTTAGAGCGCATGGTTGTTCTAGTCATTGGTACAGGTGGCGCGTATTTTCTGTTGAGGAGTCTTTGCTGGGTTTCTTACCTTATCTCTGGATTAGACAGGTAGAAGTACGTTTTCTGGTGTACTAAAGTGTGTGGGAGCATCAAATTTTGCAGCAGGCACCGCCGCCAGAGAGGTTCGATGTGAAGCTGTTCAACAACTTCCATGATAGTTAGGGGGGGGACGTACAAATGAACAAACGTTTGGTGAATGATCTCTGTAAATTTCTTTTAGGTTCCCTGTAAAACTTCCGCATGCTATCATAAAGGAAGTCGCAGTATTCACGAATAGAACGAATGAGCGATTTGGATAATTCACTTTTTATATGTGCCAAAAGGAACTTCAGATCCTCTTACTACGCAGATACATCACTGAGTCGCAGTACAGGCAGCTGAAACCGACTGCGACGCACACATTAAAAATGAAAGGCATGTCCAGTTTACACAAGCCAGGTAATCTACTGTGTCCGATTATGTATATGAACAACTCGCTCTATCACAACGCTGCTTGGTAGTTGACGAAACTATTAGATTCACTGCGTAAACCCCTGGCTACACAATGCGTAGAAGACTACTTTGAATAAGCGGAGAAGCTGAATCAATCCTCATTGGGCTCGGAGTTCATGTATACTATAAACGTGGACTCTTTTTTCACAAACGCGTCTCTTCAAGAAACAGTGGACGCTTTGTGCCATTTCATTATGTGCCAAAACATGTATGTGGGCTTCCCTGGGGCATATTAAAGGGATATGACTCACTGTGCACAGAAAATGTTCGTTCCGAGTTTGAGGGGACGGCATATAGACAGATCGACAGAGTCGCCATGGGTAGCCCCCTGGAACCGTTTTTCGCAGAGAACTTTCTCGGCTTGATCGAAAGGCAAGTTACTGCCAGTATCAGAGAAGCAAAACTGTGCAAACGGTATGTGAATGATATTTTGATATTCACCAGTGGCGAACATTCTACTCGGCTGTCAACAAGTCTAAATTCAAATCGTCCAACTTTTCGTTGTCCTGCGAGATGGAACAACACGGTTGTCTTTCGTTTTGGAAATACTCAATAAGAAACGGAACGGATGTACACTATAGCGTGACGTTTACCGCAAGGCGACCTGAAGTGGACAGTAACTTCACATTTCCAGTTTCGCTCCGGTTGCATACAAACGCAGCCTAGTAAAAACGCTCTGCTACAGGGTCAGACGAATTTGCAGTCCGGAAGTGTTGGAAGCTGAAAAGTTTCTGCACAGGACATTCGTGTCGAATGGTTAGCGAGAAATTAATTTACTTTATGTTTAAGTGAAGCAATTCCATAGTCGCCATTCTGTTAAAAATTCGATTTATCTTCGAGATAATGTGCGAAAATCGCCTCTAGTTAAGTAGGAACACAAGACCAGAAACACTCAAGAGAATTATCGAATAAATCTTAGGAAAAAGAAAAATCGTCGTGCTGGCGCGCAAGTAGGACTCAAGCGCTGTTTCGTAACGAAGACACAAATTCTGCTGATCCTATCCAGCAATATACGATCACTTCTCGGGAAAAGTAAAGATCTTGAAAGCATTTTGCAGCAAAGGGAATTTATAAATGCAGGTATATTGTAGTTACATGAAAGTTTGCTGTATTCTGACATTGATGATGAAGTCGTTAATCTCAATGGCTAACGCCATAACAGATCTGACCTCGCAGAAGGGTCCCGGCATCGCGAAGGTGTCCACAACTGCAATAACATAGGTCGGTATAAATCCGTTCCAAAATTCTCGGAGTACTTAACAACCTCAACAAGCTGTCACATATTGGAGTGCAGATCAAGTGGTATGAGCGGTTTCCGGACTGTCGTAGTTAGGAATGTGTTTGTAGCTCCGGACACAGCACTGTTCGAGTTGCAAGTCTGATCAACTTGCCTTGGAGTTGCAACCAAACATAGAATGTTCCAGCTGGGTTCTCGCAGGTAACTTCAATAGGAGTGACACAAGTTTCAATGACATCGTGAGCTTAGCCAGTTTGGTAAAATTCCCCACCAGACTCGATGCGTATCTAGCTTTAGTTTTTACTAACAAACTTGAACTGTTTTCCACTCAGAAGCGTGCACCTCTTGTTGATTACGAGCACGGCATAGTAAAGATTAGTTCCGAAGTATAAAGTAAGGCCAGCTACGTTGCACTGACAAAAAGACGATCTGGAACTGTTAAAAGAGCGAGCTGTTCAGCAGACATCGAAAAACTCAAATCAACAGATTGTTCAACTGAGTTTGCAATTTTCAGAAGTGAAAACTGTCAGTTCAATGCGAGCACCTCACAGAGTATGTAAACTTCACTTTTGACCTGTGTTGTCCCATTGAAACAATCTAGTTACGAAATAACTAATTGTTATCCTCGTTGCTCAAGCAACTATGAAGGAAAAAAGAAATAGCTTATAAACACAACTTAACTCACCGTGGTAAACTTCAGTCCTTGGCTATAAAAGCTGAAGTAAGAAGGTTAAACAATATGGACATTCAGACCGTTTAAACAACCACCGTTGCCGTGACCTGCAGAGGCTTCCAATAGGACTCTCAGGAAAACATTCCTTTGGAACATTTAGCACCCAGGATGTAAACGCTGAGTTCAGCTCCTCATAACCTAATATACTCCTCCACCTTCCTCCAGCATCACAGAGCCTCCCACTTTATTTGATTCTACAAGTGTTTACAAGAAGCGCACAAGACTGAAGTCAAACAAGACTAGTTGACCGGATGCTCTATCAGCAGTCGCTCTGAAAGAATGTGCTGTGTTATAAGCGCCTCTGACAGATCTTAAATCAGTGCTTAACGGCTGGCATCATCAACGACATTTGGAAATCAGCCAGAATAACGCCAGTGCTTAAAAAGTGATCTCGGAAGTGTCGGTTACTTGCGCGCTGGAGAAACTACTGTTCCCCCGCATTTCCACATGTAATCACACTGATGATGTCAAAGTGCCTATAAGCCAGGACGGTCTACACTAGATGCCGCTTCTTATCTAATACATACCATTGCGTTCGCGTTGGACAATAGATGCAAGAGCATACGGCTTCTATTTATTGGCTACACCAACGCCTTTTGGAGCTTTGACCAATCACTACTCATCAACGTTTTGTCTGAAAGTGGCGTCCCCCGCATGTGTGTCGTGTGATCACTTCATAAATCTCACACACTCCACGCAGCTACGTGGCAGGTCTTCTGTACTCCCAGCCAAATGTGGTGATTTGCAAGGAGCCATTCTATCTTCCATTCCATTCTCCACCCACGTCGAGAGTCTCCTCATTCCATCAAACTGCATAAGAAGTAAATATGCTGACGACGTGGTTCTGGGTCGCATAACTCCTTGAAACTTTAACGAGGGTTAGACAAACTCGTGACTAGGGTGAGCTCCCAGTCCCTCTATCGCAACCCATCCTTGCACATACATCCCCACCCATGATTGTGGATGACCAAAGCATACCCCACACATGTACAGTTAAATATCAGAGTTTTTCTATATCAGAATTTATCCTGGTTTACACATATTCTTGAAACATTTAAAGTAGTCAGAAGCCTCTCTTTGTACGCCCTTAGACTCCAAATGCATTCAGTTTCCCGTGCTCTAATTCTAATTCTGTATGTATCCGCTAAAATATAGTACCGCTAAGCATGTAACGCATGCTTCCGAGACATATAATCACGTCCAAACAGCAGCAGGTTTATCAATCAATTTAGGGAGTTAGATGACTCACAGAACTCGTGTGATGAGACAGGGGGCATGTGTCAGATGACTGGCTGGCTGGTGTGAGTGGTAACCAATCCGCACACAGATGAAGTAAACGCGTATGTGACACCCTCCCTCACTGGTTATACTGTTCCGTTATTTTTCCCGAACTTATTCAAAACGATTATGTCCTTCTAGCCCGTCCGCTAAAATTTATTTCTCGTTAGTCTTGAGTAAGGAAAGAACCGCCCATTGATTTTATCGTTAACAACGATTATGATACATGGATCAACATTTTATCCAGGATTTTAAACGACCCCACCCACCTTTTACATTCTATCCTAGTCAGCACTATAGCTACTTCTTCCACGTATACGAAATTTATAGAATTATATTTCGGTACCTAGCCGTATCGGAACTCTATCCTGCCTTATCTAACACGCTTATTAATCGACCTATGAGGAATGAAATACCGCCTTCGTGACCGTATGCTTGATGGAAGATGCAACCTTTCGTTTATTGCTGTTAACTTAACTTCTTTTAAAGATGTCTTGTGTTATATTCCGCAGTGTTAGTGTGAAATGCCTATATGGGTGGATAAGGCTCATTTTGACTTGACATGTTTGGACCTTAGGATGCAGCCCGTCTCGTTTGAGTTGTAGTGTCTCCCAATTTTATCGTGAACACATTGACGCGAATAATCGCTGAATACCTGTGCAACCAGAACTTCAAGCGATAGGACATAAAGGCAATTAGGGAAAACGTCAATAAAACATCCTCAGGGCCGGATTATGTGGAGGCAGACGGCTCAACACCAATAGTAAGAAGGTATGAATATGAAAGATATCAAAAGAATGAAGGAATAGAATCAGGTATGGAAGGATTCACCCACATCTGGCCCAAAACACACTCCGGGGACGACGCCAGCTCCGCCGACCAATCCTGCGGCCAAATTGTGCACGATATTTCCGTACAAGTTGGGCATCACCATCACATCGAACTGCTGTGGCCGACTGACCAGCTGCATGCAGCAATTGTCGATGATCATGGAAGTGAATTTCACGCGAGGATACAAATGTGACACGTTTTGGCAAGTTTCCAAAAACAGACCATCGCCTAGCTTCCTGTGGAGGAAAAAACCGACGCTAAGATGTGACAAATTCCTTTATTGGTGGTCAGATTAGGGATAATTCGGTGATTGAAACATAGCGGTGAACGAAAACCAGCCAAAAGTGAGAAAATGGCAAAAAACTGAGAAGCGTGAAACTGGCTGAAACCTGTGAGAAAATAGATTAGAAATTGAGTCAGAAGTAGTGGATAAACATTAGCAGAGTATTTTCCGAGGCAAACCAGTATCCATTCAGGCTGCTTTAACGAATAGGGACTCGAGCGTGATATGTGTATGACCAACACCCTCCAACACGACGTATTCCTAGAAACTAGTAGAACGACTGGAAAGTGAACGCTAAAATGTGTAAAAATGGAGCAGGTGAAACGCTAAGTCACCAATTAGTGCTCCGAGACAAAGCTCCGTCAAATTTTTGCACGCTTATAAGCCACATGCAAGTGAGAGCCGAAAGTAACGATTATGTAGTTGATCGGAATCTGTCCTTTCAGTGTATGGACACATGTATTTACCGTGACAGAACCAATACGCGAACAGGATCTACACCAATCAGGGCATGTAATTATCCCCAACAATTAAAACACTAGTACAGGACGATTTAGGTGTTAAGCTTGTCAATGAGGGACATATGCAAAGAGAAATAGCGACGGCAGTGACAAAATTGCTCGACTGATAATACCTCGTCAGTGCCTAAGTCATGTAAGTTCGAGTAGAATGTGAGTGGTAACAATTAAAAAATGCACGAAGTGTAACGATTGGCGGTATGCGTTTACAGACTTGCCAGGAAACGTGACGGTGAACAAGTGCAGCACATATGTGCCTATAGAACGTTTTTTGCCGTATCAATCGCAACACAACTCACATATCAGGCCCACTGTGAACCCAAAGAAGTAGGACCGGTAGGCATCGGGTGGGAGCAGTAATCGCATCGGAAGTCGTTAGCGATGCATCAACTTATATTCAAGAAGTCGTTAGATGGAGTACGATGAGAGCATTCAGGGGACGTTGCGACGCGAATGCAATGAGCATACAATGAAATGCCAGTATAGCGAAAGGTTAGAGATCTCGGAAGCTAATTCACTAAAGCGGAACTTAAATGTACTGGTATATATCGATGCGCGAAGTAATGGCATATAGTAATTGCAGGAGATTTACTGTAATTTTCCAGTATAGGAAATACAATATTGTACCAGTACTCAATATTCTTGGCTTTATCTTTTGAGAGAAATGTGATTTTCTTCTGAGATAATGTAACACGAATTAAACATGAGAAAGGAAGGGGCCTCAAAAAATTTCGCTATTCTGAACACTTCGCTATACGTGTGCTCGTCATAGGGACATTTCATTGTATTACGAAAGTTTTACTAATACGGAAAAAGGTATGTCACTCCGCCACTTACGTACACCTGGGGAACGAATACCAAGTGCGAAGCTTAAAATATAGGTCAATCAATCATGGAACCGCTCTGTGGGTCCATTCGATCCTCATCAGCTACAAGAATGTCGATTGTGGTGAGTAGTCTCCTGGAGCAAGCAATCGCAATGATGAGTTGTGATGGAAGAAAATACAGTCATGCACGAAACTCAAAAAGGAGATATACAGAGTCGGATTTGGAGTACCCGCCGTGTGGTTAGATTGCGACACGCAATCTCTATTAAAACGTCGGTTCACTTTGAAGTAGACTTCGGTTATTCCGAGCACAAGGACCGTATCCGAAATGGAGATATTCAGTATGGATGAGGGGTTAAGCTGGACAACCGTGGCATAAACACTAAAATGCGATGCAGTCAAATACCGTGAAATGTGCTACGAACGAGTACAGGTGTACAAAAGAGAGAGGAAAAGTGGCGATAAACGAGTGAAAGGACGACAAATTAAAGAAATAAGGAATGTAGAAAGTGCAAATGCTGTGATCAATAAGCAGAATAGCCCAGGGAGTATGAGAATATCAAGCAAACTAAATCTGTTGGCCAATTCAACCATTTTCCGCAGTATTATTGCCCAACGCGATGCACAGGAATGCGTTAAACGCGACGCAATCGATGTAGACGACCCAATTGTCAACATAGGATCCATAACCCGTTGATGTACACTCAATCGTTCACCATGTGCCCCATCAAGGATACATAAGACTGCTCGGAAGACACGTGACAAGGTTAACCATGACCATGCATTTAATGTGAAGTGACCGGCTCTCATCCGGCCACCACTGCAGGTAAGTGGAGAGTTGTTACATTACACGGGTCTTATGGATGTGCGTACTAATGACTGGATGATGTATAATACTTGTAGGCAATAGTATACCGGCAAACGCAGTTCTGAAGCAGTAACGTACGCTTTGCATATGTGAAGCGGATTCCGGGGTGCAAGAGTTGATCCACTCACCGGTGCTTGTGTAGCAGCCGGGTTCAATCACAACAGATATGGTCCCAGTTTGCTGATGAATCCACAAAAATAACTTGTCTCTTAGAAGCAGCAGAGAGGAATCATTCACGATCCCTTCAATCGTTGAGTAGAAGAGAAATGTGGAATTAGACCAACCCAGGTACAATCCACTGGCCGTGTGAAACTACAAAGAGGGCTTCCCGTATGGCTTCACACAACTCCAGGATTACAAGCAGCAAGTTTATAACGAGAAACGAAACTTATTGGAATGCTCTGCATCTGTTGAAATTTCAGAGAATTCTTGATGGTTGATCAAGAACCATGTCACGTGGTAGTATATGACAACGTGTTTGCTAGGTAAGCAGTTACCTGCTGTATCATCATAGCGATTTCTGGACATTCAGACGTGTGCATGCTTTAAGGTGAAGCAAGCGTCTAGAATGGTAAAGTGATAAAGGCTCCAGATGCAGCTGCACCTCTACGAAAGGTGAAAGTGGATACTGCACCAAGTGGCTTGTCAGTTAGTTATCTTTGGGTTCCATCGCAGCCAGTATTATCAGTGTGCACATCTCTGAAGATAAAGCTGTAGTACTATGGAATGGTCATGTACATGAGTTCTAAAGTGTGAGTTTGAACTGGGTTATAGTGATTTTACTTCTGATAGTATCAAGGGGCTGATTGACTCTAGATAAGTGACAGATCGCTTGCTCCCGGGAAACTAAAGCCACTCGACTACATTAGAACAAAACTCAATACAACTCGTCACAAAGGCCACATTCTCGTGTGATATGGAACCTTACGAGATACCTCAGTCGTAAACGCCGGCAAGCTGGAATATCTGATCATACATTGATTGTCAGACTGGCTTTCGGAGTGCACATTTTGTTGAATATGCCTTTGATATCGCCTGTAGACACGAATGATGTACGATGATTGAGATGCCAACCTAAAAGATGTTGTTAACGTATATCACGAAGAATGAGGGTATACTGCACTACCCCAGGGGATGCCATGGACTGGGATATTGCTGCATTCTGCTGAATATTCCTGATTCAGGCGAATGGTGCATTCGTTTCTTAGATGCTGTTCCAGCAGTGTTCGGTATATCAGAAATACGTAAATTCCCCGCCATGAGCCGCTTGGCTAAATGATGATGGAGGATGGGTTGGCGGTGACAGCGAGAATAATAGCATATTGAAAAAAGGAATTGGACAAGGCAACGCCTGTCGACTTCCTAAAAGAAGCCCCCGGGGCAACCTCGTAAACAGTTAGATCATCTATGGTGGAGTCTGGGAGTTGTGGTGCTCCAGAATTCGGTCTCATACTCCTAAGCACTATGCTGCCAAATTGTCTTCGCTTGTGCAGATCGCGTTTACTCAGAATGTTCCACCATCCGTCATTGTTATTGCTATCCTAAAGGAGGCGAGAACCAGGGCAACAGCATCCATTGCATTCGCTGCACACTTTCTAGACGGGTAACAAAAGATAAGGGAGCAACGTCAGATGTGGTCCCCAGCAGTCAGACCCCGATCCTATTATAGTCGGTCTCACCATTCAGGTCGACTGCGTAGTGGTCTCCACTGCAAATTTCACAGGAGGACAGCACATTATGAGTGAGGAGTGGGGAATCTACTAAGAAAAATAATAGATTACTACAACTGTCAGTTCATGATTGTATGAGCAACAATGGGACGAAAGGAACATTGGTAGCTGGCCGGTAGTCTTCAACAGTACACAAGCAACTTGTATGCAAACTCCGATGAAACAGACCCTTAAGCGGTCATATTCGCGAGAAGATACTATCAGCCGATGCGTAACCTTAAAGATCAAAAGCCTGCCTTGTAATCCGAGCATGTGTACGGACCGGGCGACCCTCGCAGTATCCTTAGCCCACGTGCGACTGGTAGTAGTTGTGTCGCAGTGAAGCGTCGGTACTGCGTACCGGTGTACAGGCTGACCTGCCGAACAACCTCCTAGTGGTGCCAACTGGGTGGTCCGGGATTATCTCGGTCTTGCGAAAGGTTCAGTGGCAGTGTTCCAGGACGTGGTGGGTTTTCGCCTGGCAAGCGTTCTCCCTGTAAGAAGCCACATGTGTCCTTTTAACAACACTGCGAAGTGGCGGATGTGACTCGCCACTAAGTAAAGTCACTGCCCCTTGTTTCACCTTGGTGAAGCATTGTATCCCAGCACCTTGCTGCTGAAATCGTGGGGAAGATTGGGCAGCTGTTTGGCTACTCCCCAAACGAAAGGCGTATGGACTGAGCAATCAGTCATCGGCTCCCAACGCGTGCGAATCCCTGACTTCTCTCCGCTGCCTTGCGGATAGGCTGTTGAGCCAAAGGCTCGAGGTGGAGTCCCCTAAGACAACTCCCTACTTCGGCTTTGGCAACCGGGTAGTATTGGGACCTCTGTGAAAACCATGAATTTCGCAATTACTACTACATCGCTTACTTCTGCTGCTACTCGTGCTTCTCTATCACATGTCAACTTTTCTCTGGTTGATAGTCTACAACCTGTTAAATCTACTTCCGATGCCCGTCTCGCTGATATCCAAATCATCCGACCATCATCTATCCTTCGACTCTGTACTTCATTCCGTCTGACACCGTTCA